TTAGGTGAGGATTAACAAAAAAAAAGAAAGGAAAAGAAATCAAAGAAGGGAAGGGAAGGAAGGGAAGGGAAGGGAAGGGACGGGAAGGGAAGGGAAGGGAAGGGAAGGGAAGGGAAGGGACGGGAGTAAAGGAGGGAACACCCTTCATGAGTTCCCAGGAGCACGTCTCTCGGCTGATGGACCACAAGAGGCCGTGTTCTTACCCGAGCGCCCGGCAGTCCTGGTTCCCCGGGGCGCCCTGGGTCCCCCTGCCCTCCTTTAGGTCCTGACGAGCCGACAGGCCCCCTCTCTCCTTGCGCCCCCTGTTCCAAAGCAAAGCAGACATGTCAGCAAAGAGCACGGGGACACACGTGAGCATTAGTGTCACGAACAAAGGATGGACCACAAGAGGCCGTGTTCTTACCCGAGCGCCCGGCAGTCCTGGTTCCCCGGGGCGCCCTGGGTCCCCCTGCCCTCCTTTAGGTCCTGACGAGCCGACAGGCCCCCTCTCTCCTTGCGCCCCCTGTTCCAAAGCAAAGCAGACATGTCAGCAAAGAGCACGGGGACACACGTGAGCATTAGTGTCACGAACAACAGCTGGTCAAAGTCACCGCAGGGACCTCCCGGCAGACAGTGCCCCTCGCCTTCTGCTCTAACTTGCATTCCTGCTTGAACAGCGCGGTTTCTTCGTTACCCAGGGAAAGTGGTGATCAGAACCTCGCTCCAATCACTTAGATATTGGAAAAAACATAGAATTTTGAAAGAACCTAAATTTCTAGATAAAGGAAAAAATACGTCAGCTCCAGGGAACGGCCATGACCTCTTCTTCTCGGCATTTCCCTGACGAGTTCGGAAACAAGCTCCCATCCCCCCTCCATCGGCAGCCTCCCCCACCCTCTATAACGCAGACATCGCACACGACATCGGTGCCCAAAGCTGTTCTGGATCTGGGCCCCACGGCCAAGGCTGAGTCATGACGCTGGGCCCCGGCACCTCCCGCAGCGCCATGGCCCACACTGACGAAATGGCCTCACCTTGGGTCCAGGTAAGCCGTCAGAGCCCGGGAAACCGCGGTTGCCAGGAGCACCCTACAAAGGAGCAAGATTCGGTCTTAATAGCTGTCGATGGTTTCGTAATACATACTGAAGGGATAATGTTTATCTTTAGCACTAATGGCTTTAGAGTCTGTGATCAAGCCCATATGGCGGTAAATACGCATAAGAAAAACCCTGACTACACAGAGGAGATCTTAAATTTTAAAGAATAGCCCTGACCGGTTTGGCTCAGTGGATAGAGCGTCGGCCTGCGGACCAAAGGGTCCCAGGTTCGATTCCGGTCAAGGGCATGTACCTTGGTTGCGGGCACATCCCCAGTAGGGGGTGTGCAGGAGGCAGCTGGTCAATGTTTCTCTCTCATTGATGTTTCTAACTCTCTATCCCTCTCCCTTCCTCTCTGTAAAAAATCAATAAAATATATTTAAAAAAAAAAAAAAGAATATGTAAGTACCGAGCCAAAGAGTTATCCAGAGCAAGAAATATTCTAACAACTCACGGTAAAATCAAACCTAAACTGACACACAGGCAGGCGAGGCAACGGAAGGCGCATCTGCACACGCAGAACTGCCCAGACTACGCCTGGGCCTGTGGCAGCCCCTGCGTCCCGAGGCTCACCCGGTGTGAGTGCGGCCTTGGCCCCCTCAGGCCCGGCTCACTGTCCTCCGGGACTTCGCAGTCAGCCTCCGGCTGGGCTTTGCTGTTTCCTCTGCCGAACAGTGTTCCTCCCACGTCCTCACCCTCAGGTCTCTGCTCAAATGCCATCTTCCCACAGAATCCTGTTTCCTCGCCTCCTCATCTAACGTCCCCCGCAGCCACACACTCGGAGTTATTCCTGCCGCATCGCCCTGTTACTTCCTAAGTGTGCGTGGCATTTATTAAACCGTGTCATTATGTCTTTATTTAATGTTGACTTGTTTTTTGCTAACGTCCCCGTCAGAGTGAACTATAGTTTACCAGCCCCACATGAGGGCTGGGACCGTAGCCTTCTGCCCACTGGCGTATCCCAAGCAACACAACACGCTGGCATAGCACAGTGACCGTCAGGACTAGCTCAATCCCTAGCTGCATGAATGAATACACAGTGGTAGGTGGTGCCTTTCATTCACAGGTTACCTCACTGAACCAGCACCTGCAAGCGCGTCTCTCAACTGCTCTGGCTTTCCTTACTGTCCCCAGACATTCCCCGGAACCGTGAGAACTTGCTTTATGACTCAGTTTACCCTTTCTCCCACCGGCCCTTGAGGACCGACTGCGCCGGGGTCGCCGCGGGGACCTCTTTTGCCTTCTTCACCAGGGGGGCCGATGGGACCCTGAATGCCATGGGGCCCCTGTTGAAAACAGAAGAGCAGTTACCAGAAAAGGCCATGCAACGAGTGGAGTGGAAAGATCCATCTAATGAAGTCAGTCATACATTCTAAATTACATGAAATGGGCTATTTCCATCCAGAGGGATTACACTCCCATAGTTATTATTTCACAAACTTCAGCATTTTGAGCTGCCCACTGCTAGGCAATGCACATGTTGTTTTTCTCATTTAAAAAGAAAAAAAGAATGAGCCCTTACCGGTTCGCCTTTGGGGCCAGCTTCTCCTTTGAAGCCTGGGACTCCTGGGTCGCCCTGAAATGAAAGCATCCTCAGCGGGGAGCACCCTCCCTCCCTCCCTCCCTGCA